TATGTGGGCTCATGTGTGGCTACAGACCCCTATAACAGATGCAGTCAAAGCAGGCAAAGATTACCTAAAACAAAACTCATCTGGGAGTATTAATCAAAGACAAAACCAAAGTAAGAAAACAATTCAGACCCATTTATTTTTGAATGTCACATCACAGTTTCCAAAAGCAGAATTATTTTTTCCAGCCAGTTGCTTAATTGCCCAGTGATAAAGACCACTCCTGGCAACATAGCTCCTGGAAACTGTCAATACAAAAGGATTAATTACAAGAATCATTGAAAAATTGCAATTTTTACAGCATCCATCTTTCCTATTTGATTGTGGGTGTCAATTTCCAGTAAAAAAACAGCATTTTCTGCAGACAAAATCAATGTCTGTCAAAAATAACTGGACCATACCACTGACAGATTAATATATATATATGAATATCCTCATATATATACATGCATATATACACACATGCATATATGTTATTCTGAAAACAGTGAACTTCCTCTAAATTAAGACTATTACCCTACTAAAAAGCAAATACATGTAAAAATGACCAGACACATTCTGAAAGCTATAAAACCCAGAAATAATTCCTACAAGACACATGTAGCACAACTAAAGTTAATAATATTTTTGACAGGAGTTCAATAGGTTCAGAAATTCACCTTACTGCTTCTGATTTTCTTCCCAACTGAAAAATATTTCAAAAATACATATTCATTCAGTTAGTATCTTTAGAATTATACCTCTTTTGCAATATTAAAGCATTGCTGCATTCCTGCATACCATAAAATTTTGAGTCAGTTATAAAGATTCCAGCAGTATTTGTAATACTGCTGTGTGATAATTATTTTTATTATGCTGTGTATAATCACCACACAAAACCTTAAACTTTATGTTAACAGCTAAAAAAAAAATAATAACATCCATACAAAAATTCTGGGACAAATTTTCAGCTGGTGTAAATCAGTATACATCCCTAACATTGATGGAATTAAAATGATCTGCATTACATTGTATGTATTCCTTCTGCATGTCAGATTTCCCTAACAAAATCAATTGCAGCCTATATTGTCCATAGCCAAATTTCAGTTGTTGTAGTCTGTAAAACAAGTAAGCTCCTTTCACAGCAAGAAGAAAAATAGTATTCCTACTCCTCCATATCTAATAAAGGTGCATAGTGGGTTTTGATGTTTTGAAGTGGGGCTTTTTGTGTATGTTCTGACGGTTTCTTTCTTTGATTGGGAGGTTTGGAGGGTGATGGTGGTGAGGTTTTTAAAGTATTCAGTATAGTTAGCATCAAATTTTGTTTTTTCAGGAACACAATAGACTACACTCTTTGGCACTTACCTCAAACGCAAATTAGTATTTTTAAGTAGTTGATGCAACAGGCTTGTGACTCATACTTACAAAGAACTTTAAAAGAAATTATGCCCTTGTCCTTTAATGTGATCAGGTTTTGAAAAAGTGTTTTTCATGAGTTCATATTTTTAGAATGAAAGCCACACCTGATTTTCAGCAGCAGACAGGAATCCTTACAGGGTTTCTTCTCGACATAACTGAATAAAGTAGTATTTTGTTGGTGGCTTTTGTGTAATCAACACATGTTCTTGTCACTTTGTGCTTCAGAGGAAATTAGAAGACAGTTTCCTTTCATACCCATCTCCAGCTAATTTCCTCATTCTTCTCTCTTTTACACATGAGCACTTTCAAGTAGTGTAAATTACACTCTTTCCCCCCTTCAATTTAGGTTTCCTTCCCCAGCCCCCCTACCCTTATGATACTTTACCTTCTCATCAGAGAATAGGCAGGAAATTATCCAGTGGCATTTTACATTCATTTTATCATTAGTCACTACTAGTTAATTTATGTATTTATGCAAATTTATGTCTAAAGTAATTGTTCTTTAATCAGTTCACATGTACCTGCAAAACTTAGGTTTCCAATAGCAAATTAAATAAAACTCTTTCAGTGAGCACTTGCATATTTTCAGGCACATTCCAGTTGTGTGAGCAGACCTAGACAAATGCACACGAACGCACATTCGTACAGAAAGCTGCCATTCTAATTATAGAATATTATCCAAAAATAAACATTAAAAAAAAAACCATTCCTACAAAAAAGCAAAGTTACACAACTTGAGGCCAGAACCTCAAGTGATACAAAGGTTGTGCTGGTTAACACCTTGGGTGGAGGTGGTCCAACTTGCATCTACAAACAACAAGTGTCAGATCTGTCCATCTGTAACCAGCACATAGAAAGGCTATATCCTTTGCTTGCAAAGTAAAGTTTAAAGGATGATGCTGCTGCTGATAGCAATTCATCCTATCTCAAAGTTCCACCACAGCTGGTGAAAAACAGTCTTGCCTTTTAACATTTTTTTTAAATGTCGTTTTACATTGTGTGTGCCACATTACAGCAAAGACAAGAGGAGTTAGAAGTGTCTGAGCACAGACTAATCACCATGTCATTCAAAAAGTGACCTAAACCTTGAAATGCCTTTTTGCATGCCGTAGTCATTAAAATGCACCGCCTGCTTTCCAATACCAATTGAAACAAAGGAAAACCAGGAGTACCAGAACCTGCTGTACCCGGGTCTGCAGGAGAGCAGTGAGCGGCAGCAGCAGCAGGAACAGCAAGGGAAAAAACCCTCATTTATAACCAGTGACAACTAAAACCTATGAAGTTTTTAAAAGAATGTGATTGTTGTCAAAAGGAATTGGGTACAACAATGCTGCGTTCAGCTCTGGTTCCACTCAAAGCAGTGGCTGAGGGGCTCTGGGAAAGCTGCTGGAAGGCTGGTGGGCACAGACCAGCAAGAAAGTGAATTTTGCATACTGTACGGATCATCGCTCAGTTCAGGGCAGTCATATTGAATCTGTGATCAACCAATTGTGCTTCATGAAACCGTCAGCCCTCATTTATGTCTAGCTGTTTTCTTCTGTCCTGCTGTAAACAAGCTCTGCTCTGAGCTGTCTCCCTACCCTTATCTGCTTAAGAAGATCACACAGACAGACCTCATCAGCAGCCTTAGAGTTAAAGTTAAAGTTACTGCTTCCAGACAGCAGTCCCCATGCAAGCTGGAAGTCAAAAAGAAGAGCAACTTTGGAATGACAGAGTTTTAGTTCCTTTTAGGAAATACATACCTTAGATTCATACACATACTGGCATGTTATGTCTCTTTCATGAAATTAAATTAGGTGTTCCTAATATGAACAACTGTTTCTAACATCAGCAAACTAGCTCAGCAGATTCATCCATGGTTTTGTTTGTGGGTTGGTTGTTTTGGGTTTTTTTCCTTTGGGGCCTTGTTTGAATACAGCCAAAAGAGAAGTAGCTGGAAATACTGTCAATCTGGTAGGGCTCCAAGAACCTAATAATGCCTGAAATGCTCTAAGGAATGTAATGATGGTAAACAGGAACAGGTATGTTGGCTTCTGTTCTCATTCACTTCAGCAAGAACATTAGCCTTTCAACATAAAGCAGAGCACAGTTTTCAAAGAATGATCCTCTCGCATACAAAGGGATGGAGCCTTGCTAAAAACATATTCCTCTGTGAACACACACACACACACACAAATGCATTAGCTGGTATTTACAGCATTTAATTCTTGAAACCAGCTGCTAGGTCCCTGTTAAGGCTTTCCTTTATGCAGCTGAGCTGGAACCTTTTTTCCTTCTCCTAGCCTATTACTTTGTCTATTTAAGGGATGGCAGCCAAAGAGAAACAGCTTGTAATTTGCACCTGTCTGCTTTAAGCACTCCATGTTAGATTTTGCACAGAGCAAACTCTTCACTGCTAATGAGAATGACACTTAATAGGGTCAAACATATTTTTTAGCTGACTCCGCAGCAATTAAAAAATAATTAAATAAATACCTATTTCTTTTAAGCCTGTTCTCGTTGGAGAATGAGGCTAAAGGAAAAGCCTTGTCAAAAAAGAGCAGCTCAGTGTGTAGGTAGAAGATGTAACCCCATGTGTCTCGTCTAACATAACACTGGGCACAGCTAGGCACGACTGAAACCCTACACTCCCCTTGCAGGAGCACGCAGAGAGCTTTTGCCTCTCCTATAAAATTCAGAATTGTTTCAGAGAACAGCCATGTGCAAAGAATCCTTCTGAATTCTTGCATACTGAGCTGCCTTTTGAGAACTCACAGTACACTTTGCTACCTACAGGGTCAGGTCTATGAGAAAATTGTTCTCTTGAGAATTAAAAAGAAGTGCGAGTTTCACTCCTGATCCAGAGACTCACAAGCATTGTCATGCAGAGATGCACTTAGCTGGAATGTAAAGCAGTGAAGGTGTACATAGAGCAAATAACCCACGAGTGATCTTTCAGCCTTACAGAAACTACCTTAGCATGTTTGCTTCTTGCTACAAAACAAGCATGGTGCTTTCAGTCAGCTGTGGTATCATGTACAATTGCATTGAAAGAAACGACAATTTCACTGGCATATTAGTTTAGTTACTAAGAAGTAGTCTTTTTCTTGCTTGCTCTTAAAATAGAAAAGCCCTCAAAAACCTCAAGCTACAGAGCTGATGACAAGAACAAAAATGCTGGGGAAAAAGTAGAAGGGAAATAAACCGAAGTAAAACATACAATTTATTAAAGAAAACATCGGTGCTGCATTTTGATTTCATAAATTGTCCCTATTTGTACTTCCTGCTTAAACAATAACTAACATGATGATGGGTTAAATGAAGTTGAGATTGTCACAAACATGGCCTCACTAGTAATTAATGTAGTTTAATATGGTTGTTGGCACACATCTCACATGACAGATAATGTTCCAACATGTCACTGATAGGACCTTTCAGCACAGCTTTAGGAGATCTACCAGGCATTGCCGAGGTTGGTTAGGTCAAAGGGTTGAACCATGTGTAATTCAGAACAGAGGAGGTCCCACGGTCACTCCACAAAAACAATTACACTACTTATTTCACTCCATCCCTTGCCCGAAATTCACAAGCCTCACAGTTTCAGCGCAGTCAATCTCGCTCTGCCCTGGGGCTATGAGCCACATGAAAATATGTGGTGCTGTGTTTATAAATCTAATCAAAAATAGAAACAGTAGACAAGCACAATGAGGTCCTACTATGGATCATGGGAATTCTCTAAATTCTGAAGGCACTTTTGTTTAACTTCTGTGGGCCTTCTCCTACCATTACATTGTCTGGTACTCTCGTTAATCATCCTCTTGACTTGTCAATGATATAAAGGAGCCTATGCGTCTGCTGACTTCCCTTCTATCACACTACGAATAATATTATGAAATAGCAATACTAGGAATAGCCCCTTTAATTTTTTCTAGTTTAAAGCGTGTTTTTTTATTCGCTTACCTCTTTCTCCATGCCAGTCTGCCCTTTCTCAGACCTGCAGCAGAAAATGCTTCCTCCTGCAACAAAGGAGAGGGAGTTCATCTGAATTTTCAGTCTGCATACAATCATTAATACCCTTAGGTTTAACACATAGACTTGCAGAGCACCGGCCTAGAAACTTGTCAGGGTGGAGGGTCTTTTCCTGCTGCAGTCCCTGCTCCTGCCTTGCCAAAGAGCAAAGGAAGGATACAGTGCTGTTCCTTCATTTCATCTTTTTGAAAACAAATTTCCATCAGATTACATTAAAAAATAGATAACAAAGATAAACAAGAAAAACATAGTTTAATCTAAGATGAAACAACTCCAACAAAGTCATGGTTTTGTGTAAAAGTAGCCCAGAAGTAGACAATTTCTACTGCCAGACAGTAAGTACTAAAACATCAGAGAGTTTGCTGTGGAATACACCTAACCTGAAGTTTACAGTACTAAAGCTGCCAGACTCCAGAATGCTTCTGTGACCCTGCATTTAGGTGGGTCCCACTTGTGCTTCACTCCCTGTGCTGGGATTTCCATCAGAAGGTAGGAAATTATCCTCTACTCTGGTGTTATAACCATTAAGCAAGCATACAATAACTTTACAAGTTATATATAACACAAGCTAAACTCTCTTGGTTTTATATCAGCTAATTTGGCCTCTATGTGGGAAAAAAAAAAAGATTCATTCAAAATGGCTAGATGGGTTAGCCTTGTGCTCACTGAAATCAATGGCAAAACTCAGTCTGACTCTGCAGTCACAGGACCTGAACCTCAATGAATAGCAAGCTTCTTCCTTTGCCAGCTTTTCCCTTATGCATTTATACAAACACACATTCAGATTATTTTGCGGAGTCTGAAAACAAAACAAGACTTTGAACAATTAAAAATATCCCTTCAGAGTCCCTCAGAAGCTTTAACTGACCTTCTGGGTCAGAAGATGCCCTGTACAAAGTACATGTTTGGCCCCAGTTGAGGAAACTCTCTCTCCTGAGGGCACCAGGCAAAGAAGTGCTTAATTCTAAGTATGCACTTAAGCTTTATTGAAATCAATACAATGGACAGTGGATGGGGCCACAAATTCTCTGCAGAAAAAGGCTGCATTGTCACTCTGGTTGCTCAGTAATGAATGAAGGGCTGAGCTTTTGCCCAGGCTTTGCTGACGCTGAGAGTCTGCTGACCTTTACCATCACTCCTCGATTTCAGTGCCCTCCTTGGGTGCCAAGGCCATTGCAGCAATGCTGGGGGCTATGATTCCAGCAACTCCTGCCTCCTCCTGTGGCCAGCCCTGCCCAAACAGCCCCTATGCCATAGTCCTGTCACAGAAACCATGTCCAAACTCCTCTGCTCCATAGCACTCTGCGATATTGAAAATAAAGCCTCACCTAGACCATGTGGGTAGGCTCAGGCCACATATCTAGTCATCGTATATCTCAGAAAACAATCCCAGAGTCCCAGTTCCAAAATCTGGTATGTGTTTCCAGGCCAAGGTAGTATCTCCATCCCTATTCCAGCTACTGCTCTAATCTGATTGCACATCCACTGAATGCAACAGGTAACTAGTCCTGAGCCCGATAGCGTGGCACATTCTATGTTACGACTCAAATGGGAGTAGCAAAAAAGAAGAACCTGTGTGGAGCAATGACAATAAAAGCTTGAAATGGTTCCTTTCCTTTTCAAAATAGAATTGCAAGAAGCTGCCAGCAGAAAGAACTGATAAAGATGTAAGCTGTAAATTCAACATTTTCATCCATGGTCAACATCTGTTCATTGAAGAGGGGCCAAAGATGCAGCAATAAGCCACAATACTGCCAGGAATCCAAACATTAATGGGAAGACAGAGTCTCATCTTAAAGAATGTGATTGACCACATTAGAAAAGCAAAGGCAAAGATATATAAACAGTGAGTTCAGAGGAGACATTAATAACATTAATGCCTTAACAGTGATATTCTTAGAGTTCAGGAACTTCCTTTTATTTGAGTTTTCTGGGGAATTTGTTTGCTTGTTTGCTTGGGTGGGGAACACTGGTGGTTTTTTTAAATGAAGGTGCTAGGCATCTCTTTTCCTTTTTTAATACCAATCAGGCAACACATTCAACACTGTATTAACTGATGTTGACTGTGGCCTTACTTAACCTTATCAGCCTATTTTCTTTAGCTGGATAACAACTGAATCATTAGCATTCAACTGGCTTGCAGTCCTGAAAGAGTACAGCAAAAAAGAAAGTACATGATTTTTCCACCAAAGAACAACATAAAATCTATTTCAGATCCCACCGGATATTTTATACCCAGCTGATGTAATGTCTTGCATTATTTAGGGGTGGACTTTTGTGAAGTACATTTTTAGTAAAATGACAAAGCAAAACAACAACTTAGAAGTCCTTCAAGTGGATATTTTTTCTCTTTTTTTTTTTTTTTTTTTTTTTTTTTTTTTTTTTTTTTGCCACAAGAGGAATGACTAGGGAAGCTACATTAAATAGGCAAGATATCTGAATAGCTTTCTGTAATGAAAATAATCTATTTCTAATCCAAAAATGGAGGAGAATTAAATAGACACGCAACAAAAATAACTCTTATAGAAGCACAACTGTATTGACAGGCTCCTGTCACCAGTCATAGATCCAGGAGAGATCAAGACAACACACCTTTCCAGTAAAGCAGGCTGAGGCTCCTCTTTTTCACACTAGTTGATATTTTATGCTGTATCAGCTATTGGAAATCACTTGGGCTGCATCAAGAGCCAGTATACAATAAGGGTCTTGCAAATGTAACCATAAAATTTACTATTCCTGCAGCAAAAATCCTGTCCTGTTTGTAGCCATGTACCCAACATCTCCTGAAAGCCCTCCCAAATGCACAGGCATGTTATCAGAGGCCAAGGAGAGAAATGCTGGACACAGCTAAGGTGCTGGCAATTGCTGGCAGAGAAATAGTGAGTTCACAGTAGGAGTAGCAAAGCAACAGTCTGTCATCATGGTGGCTGCCCTCGCTCCTTTCTCACCTTCACCTGGTACACAATTTATCACATGCTAAGAAGAAGTGCTGTGGGATCTCTGTGCTACAATATCGGCAGAAACCACTGAGTAAATGATAACCCTAACAACCTACTTGTAATTCCCTTTGGACTCTCTCATAAATACCAGCTAGCCAGCATTGGTCTTTAAGTATTTCTTCAGGGGAAAATTGCACCCCTGTTGAAGAGAATCCATCAGTCACTTAAATTCAGCAGGACTGACCTTTGAAGCCACAAGCACTGTTCCTATCCTTTAATCACCAATTTTGGGAGCAAGTCCTTCGAAGTAATTTCAAATCCTTTCTATTCTCATTTAAAAAAAAAAAAAAAAAAAAATTTAACATTAAGCTCACATTCAATTATTTTGCTTGATAATATTGTCTCTAGCCTTTTTTTGTGTGCTTGAAAAAATAGATAGATAAATGATTTTTCTATTGATAAACCTCGGTGGGCAGCTAATCATCACTTAGCCACTCCCCTCCACCTCCAGTGGAACAGGGGAGAGAATTGGAAGGTTGAATGTGCAAAAACTTATGCATTGAGATAAAGAGATTTTAATTTATTTTTTTTTAAAGGAGGAAAAAAAACAACAGAAGAGAAAAAATAAAACCAAATGAAAAACAAGTAATGCAAAAGAAAACAATTTCTCACCACTAACTGACCGATGCCCAGCCAGTCCCCCAAGAAACAGCAGCCCTGACCAACTTTCACACACGCTTCTCACCTCATTTTACCGCTGAGAACAATATCATATGGTGTGGGACATCCCTTTGATCAGTTGGGATCAGCTGTCCCAACATCGTCCCCTCCCAACCTCTTGTTCACACCCAGCTCTGGAGGGTCAAGAAGAAGAAAAGGCATTGACATTGCATAAGCACTGCTCAGCAATAGCTAAGACATCCTCCTGTTATCAACTCTTCCATCACAAATTCAAAACATAGCCCCATACAATTTACTATGAAGAAATTTAACTGTCCTAGCCAAAACCAGTACACTACATCATGTCTGCAATTCCTGTGAAAGTGGCAAATAGTAATTTTAGTTTCTGTGCCACCATTCCAATATTCTCATTTTCCACTAAATGGGAAGCACTATATACAAATTCTCATCACACTGCTTCAGAGCCTGGCTTATGGACGATGAAGTTATGATGACTGATGAAGTCCAAATGCTCATGTTTGAGAGTGCTGAAATTCCTAGTGGTCATCACCTGACAGTCAGTAGTGGGCAAAGTACAAGGTCAGCCCCAGCCTGGAGAAATGGCTCTCCAGAATGGGATGACAAGGTCCCAGTTTTGCTTGCCAGGATTTTCTTTGGCATGGCTGCTCACCACAAGGTTCAGATCATGATGGTAGCAGGCCACAGGATTGGGGTACTGAGCACAATAAGGAAATCACATTTTTTATGGTCTCAGCCAAGCCTACATGTCTTTTTCCTCCAGCTTTCCACTTGTAAAACAAGCACAATAATACTCCACATTACCTCCATGACTCTACCAGCCATGGTGGATTTCTGCTGACGCATCTGGATGCAACATCATGGTACCAGGAACCTCAGCACTGCAGCTGTCCTTACTTCTCCCTTTCCATCCACATCCCAGTCCTTATCCAGAAAAAAAAAAAAAAAAAAAAAAAAAA